AAAAGAATGTCTGAATAGTTACATTCATAAAAATGCTTTCATTTCACTCACAAATGTTAATATTCTTATAAAAACAAAACAAAACAATAAATTGTTTATTTATCTAATCTTTCATTACAATACAACTATTGTCAGTGGAAGGTAAATACTTCACTTTTTATTGAATTTTTCAATTTGATAATATTTTGTCTGGTATAGAGAGAATGCCTCCTTTTTTGGATATCAATTATCCCCTTTAACTCTTTACTAAACAATCTGACTACTTTTATTTTTGTTTATACAGCTATAATACAAAAGACCAACTTCCAACTCCTTTTTTTTTTTATTTAGTATACCCTGTATCCACATATCTGATATATTTTGAGATAGACTTAATACATCATTCTATATTGTTAGCTCTGACATTTTCTTTCATATTGCCTGATCAGAGCCTAATTTCATTCTTAATTCATTTATCACTAATTTTGTATAATTTGGTGAATCTTTAAAATAGTTCAAATTTTACTATGCTATTTATTTTTCTAGAATTACAACTGAAGTTCCAAATAGATATTTAAAATTAATTCTAAATGTAACCATATTTAGCTGCAAAGTATTTGAGAATCTTTACCAGAGATTCAGTAATTAAGTCAAAAACTGTTTTTAATTTAGAAAGTAATCTTGACTATTTTAGATTTAATGGCAAATCATTTTTCATACTTTAGAATTACCTTCATCAGTTTGCTTTGTATGTATTTTCTTTTGGCTACTCCTTTGTTGTACATTCTTAATAGAAACCATAATGTTTTAAAGAAAAATATTTTGAAAAGGTGTCTCTGATTTAGGAAAATTAACCCTTAAACATATTCTTTTTGCCTTTCTTTGATAACTTTTTCATAATGATTTTTTTTGTTCATTTGAAAAATAGATTTCAAAGATGATTCTATATGCTGTGTTCCTTCAGGACATGGATGATTATAGCTCTCCACACTTTCCTATCCTTTGTAGCTCTTAACAAACCCTCCCATTCCCTGTTCTGCCATTCATTTACTCAAGCTCGTTAGATAGGTTACTTGTTGCTTTCCTCTGTCCCACTTCCCTTGAGTGCCAAATTTTCCAAAACTTTTTTTTCCTCATTCTCTGTTCTAGAAATTTCAACTGTCTTTCTGATTCTAAGTATAAGAGTCTTTTTTGTTTCCACTTTCCTTAAAACTTCCTCATTGCTTATATGTTGCATCTATGGTATTCTCAACACCCTTGGGTAGAACCACAGCATTATTAACTGAAATCTCTTCTTCATCTGTGAGGAAATTGTCCAGGATTCATTGACATATCACTGTCTTTCTGATTTTGACTGTAAAATTATTTGTTACAAAATAATTTATAAAATAACTACATGATGCTATTTAAAGAAAAGCCATTTCATATATCTGATTGCATTGGTTTAATAGTAAAATTAACCACTGACTTATAATGTTTGCTTTGACTCTCTCATTTTTGGAATAAGTCTTGGGTGTCTAAAGAGTAATGAACACTGCATTCCTGACCTGCATCTGAACAACTATGCTCTTGTTTGGCTTTCTTTATATATTTCTTTGTTTATATTTTCTTCTTTGTGCGTGCATGAGAGAGAAAGAATGACTGGGGGTGGGTGAGGTCTAAGGAATATACATGTGGGTTTTAAAATTGAGCCCCAAAAGTGATTACTTGATCCTTACAGTCACAATGTTCAGGCAAACTGCAATTCTGCATTTCATATGCTTCCTTCAGTTACTAAGTAAAGATCTAATTTGATTAGGAAAACCAATTCTAATGATGATTCTACCAACTTTTCCTTCATATTAACCCTTGCTTCTACAATATTAGTAATGAAAAACATCCCTGCTGGAAACACAGTCACTGCATGCGTGTAAAATGGGAAAACTTTTTTTCAAATATGTGGACATTTATTTGGATATTGCCAACATGAGAATACAACCAGTATTAAAAAAAATTGTTTGCATAAGTTTGATGGAAACAAACTTAATTTCAAGTATAGTCATGAACATAAAACATTTGTGTGTCATCATGTTAGAATATGGAATAATTAACCAAGTGAAGTCTTAAAGTGATTACTTGGATAGCATGTTTTTTTTAATGACCATTAATTGGGGTTAATAATACTGCAAGCCAGAAATAATTTCTATATTTGGTGAAGATATATATTCATATGAAAAATGGCACCATAGGCTTGTAAGCTGCATTTGTCCATGCAACAGCTCAGTTTGACTCCTGGAAGATTACTGAAGGACTGACTGTTGTTGTTACTCTATGAAGTGACATCATTGACTTCATCTCAACCAAAGGGAGATAATAGTCTTTTGTATCCCTGTGCCATCATTGTAAAATTGAATTAATTATTTTATTTTCAAAGTAAAAGAAACTAAGTGATTTTAATTGCCTATGTTCATCTTGACAAATCATTATTTTGGTTTTGAGTATTTTTTTTTCAAGAATTAAAGAAGCCTTTTTGAGACCAGTTATGTCTGAAATGGAAGAAAAGCTCTTTTCTCTAGATTTCCCTCAAACATTTTAAAAATGCACAATTTTATTAGTCACATCTTAATTTGTATTTGACAGATCCCAGTCAATAAATAGTTTTTCTACTGTTTATTTATTTAGAAATTATCTCCTTGGGCATTTTTTACATTTCAAGGTGCTTGTATTTTCACTATAAGCAATTCGATTACATAGTAATGAATGCTCTTTGAATAACAAAATTCTCAGGAACAAGAGAGTTAATTGAATTCCTTTGTTTTGACAGTAGAGAAGGAAATAATTTAAAATCTGGTTCATTCTTTGATAGGATGGAAGTGGACATGAATCAGTGAATGTTGCATAATTTGTTGTATTTGACAGTTGGCAGTGAGGCAAGGAAGAGAGTAGTTTGAGAGTGATATTTGAGTTTGCTGCTGGTTTGTTGATTACCAATCATTGTTGGGTTTTTTTTTGTTTTATTTTGTGATTTCAGTAGATTGTGTCTTCTTTCCCACCAGTCATGTTAGAGCACCTCAGCCTGACCTTTTAGACATTGCATTGCTCATAAGTAGCACATAAAATTCCCACTGGCCCTTTTTGCAACCAGATTCCCTTTGTTTGTCTCATTTACTCTCATCTCTTGCTTGTTCCCCTATCTCTCCTTCCTTCAGGCTGAACTATTTTCTCCCAGCTTCTTTCACCAACTCTCTCTTCTTCACTCTCTCTTCTTCACTCTCTACCAACTAATTCTTTTATTTTCTCTGTCCATAATCTTCAGACATCTTGTCAGATCACAACTTCAAGAATGAGCAGTGGAAGAAGAAAATAAAACTTACTAACTTTTATCAGAGATTATTTCTATGATTCAGTTCTAGGGATTCTTGATTTTAAGAATCTCGCAAAAATAACTTTGTTTCTTCAGTGCTTCTGATTCATCTTATCTGACAGTTTATAAATACCACCAACAAGTTATAATTTGCTGATATTATAGTAAGAAGGACTGAAAAGCCATTGAAGTAATTGTGGTTTCTATATTTGCTTTTAATACATAGAGAGATAATACATCTCTTTAGTAATGAGATTGGCAAAACAACTTATTGGCTCACTTATAACAGGATCTGTTATTATGAATTTAAAAAGTTACAAAAAGAAAATAGAAGAAATTAGTATTTAATGCAGACGGGGTGCTGAAAATTTTGTTGTTTAGACAGATTTTTAGCAAGTGGATTGAACCAAGAGCTTTTCAACACCCATTCATACACATTTTTAAAGTGTTGTCATGATTAATTGTCATCTCTCAATAAAAGCAGCTATTTATATATTTTTCTTTTCCTACATGAAAAAAACAAATGTTCTTAAAATCGGCCATTAATAATTGTAGCATGAAACTTTTTCAGCAATTTATTTGAAACTTCTGCACTTAAAAAAAAAATGAAATATGCAATCTCCTTTCAAAATGATTTAAAATGTTAGTATTGCTACAGGTAATGTCTTGCTGTATGGCCAAAATAAATTTAATTTCTAATATCATTGTTGTGAATATGCATACATATATGCATTGATATCTAGGTTTATGTATATGGTAATATAGACTTTATTATTATGTGTCTGTGATAACATTAAAGAAACCATTATGTCATTGTATGGAAAATGGATTTAGATTTATTGCAAATATTTCTTCTTTAACAATAAGAAAAAAAACTTAAATACTATGTGTGTATGTGTGTTTATTTTTTATTTAAATTAATATTTCTTGTTAAAACAAATTTAAAATACAATGAACTTGCATTTTTTTAGCATTATCTCTTAAATGACATACTGTGCTAGGAAGCAGACGGTAACTAATACTGTGTTAGTAGTACGCACTTGACTTTCCTTTAAATTTCCCCCACCCCACCTAAGCATCACTAGGGGCACAATAAATGAATAAGGTTAGCTACCATTTATTGGGAAGAGAATAGAATTTTATAATACATTTATAACTGCTTTTTATTTTATTTTTTTTATTTTTTTGACTGTCTATATCAGTGTTTGGAACTTTTCTGATTTAAATCATTTTGATAAATTATAAGATTATTAAGAAAAATTATTGGTTATGTTTTTGAGCAATTTTAAAAAGAAATGAAAAAAGAAGGATGTGATAAACTTTAATTGCCATGTGTAATAGGTTGGGATATTATTATCCCTTTCTATGTGTCTAGTAAAGGATTAGAGAGAGAGTGACTAGATTCATATATAATCTCAGCCTGAAGCCCATGTTAACAGATCTGTATATGAGTAAAAGAGTGTGTGACTCTTCAACTTGCCATTTACTTAAAATGCTGCAGGTATTCTATTTTGTATCTTTTCCAAATGTTGCTACTTCTATTGTTTTGCTGTTTTATTATTGCCAACTCCTTTAAGTGCTACTCTCTCTCTTTCAATTTAGAGCAAAAATACCTTGACACCTGAATCCTACATGACTGGCTATACTGATGGCATCTGTTGTTTTACATTCATTTCAGCATAAAGTGTGTTTTCGTGATTCCCTGAGTACCTTACATGACTACCCATCAGAGGAGTTGATGCTGGAAGACTACTTGGAGGAGCATCCCGAAGAGAGGCAGTTGCTGCTGGACAGCCATGGCTTTGCAGAAGGGAATGCTGAATCTACAGATGATGGATCAGAATCTGATGATACCAGCCCCAATCTTCATGATGGAATGATGTCCAACATGGCTCTCTCTTCATCAGGTGCGTGTGTGTGTGATATTATTATTTGTATCATCCTCTACAATTCAGTTACTTTTATCCTTGTTTTTTTATTATCATCATGTGACTTTGTTTTTTTTCTTAGCCTTGATTAAGTTTTTGTTGCTTTTAAGATGTTTTTTTATAATTGTGAATAAATATTTGTTATATATACCAGTTGATCTAATTGATTTAGTAATTTTTACAGTATATTATTAAAAGATGTAGCATTACATTTTTAGTGTACTCATGATTTTTTAACAATCTATTTTTTTAAAAAAATGGATATTTAACTAATGACCTATAAAAAATATTTTTTCAATTCTTCACTCGATAAGCCTAGTTTTTTTGCAAGACTTTTCAAAGTTGTACCCAAAAAGAAACTTTCTTCAGAAAGAGACCCAGTTTAAAAGAAACTTTAATAAAACAATTTTTTTTTCTTTGTATTGTGAATTTGTTTTATAGATATATAGTAATAATTTCTTAGTCTGTAAGTACCTATTTTTTTGACATTTTCAGTGTGGAAACAACTTTGAAAATAGTCCCCCAGAATGATTTTTCTATTTGTCTTTGTTATTCTGTTTGAAGAATAACATCCATTCACCCTGTGAATAAAGCAATCACCCAATACAATGCTTTACAAATGTTATTTTCTTTGCCTTTTTTTAATAATTTAAAATTAGTAAAGTTCACTTTTTATCTCTATTTAGAATATAAAGTTGAATAAAATTTTGTCATTAAAAATATTCACTTTTATCTGATCAATATAAATATCTTCTGCAAATTTATTCCTCATATAAAGTAAATTAAAAGGTTCTTAAGCTAACAAATTTTATTTGGTATTACTCAATAAATATCTAAGTAGTATGTTCTATGTGTAATCTGATTAGTTTTCGGTTGTGTGTCCTGCTTTTCAAATGGCTACGTTTTTATGAGATATTAACTAAAATATTGGAGAGAGAGAGAGAGAGAGAGAGAGAGAGAGAGATAGATATCCCTGCATTTATAATCATAGCCTATATTTATACTAATCATGTAGCAGGCTATCCTAAACAGTCAGGAGGTCCAGCTACTAAAAAGCATTCATTCACCCACTTTTGCTCATTTAAAACTGACATTTTAATCTAATGTTTGCTTTCATAACACAGTTACTTTGTATTTGACTTTTATGCTATTTTCACTATTAGATGCAATACAAAGTGTTTTTGTATAACAACTTACTATTTTGATTACTTAATATAGATGGTTTTCTTTAAATTGTAACAAAACATATTTGTTTATTATTATTTTGCACTGTTTATGTCTCTTATAAGATGAAGTGTCTATTTTAGGGAATATTTTCATCACCAATTTTTTTCTGTGCTGTTCTTTATGGTGTTTGCTGTTTCTTCATCATAATGTGTGCTTATCATTATGTTATCTAGATTCAGAGCAGGATTTTTTCAATCTACTTTTCTATTTGAAAAGCTTTTCCTTTAATATAAATTTGTATTAGAATAAAAAAAATGACATCTAATATTATCAATGGACAATAACTAAAGAAAAATATATATGCAGAATAATAATACATTTCTAACAAAACTATATCATCAATTTCATTTAAGACTTAATCATCACACATTAATTCTTTTCCTATTTCCGGTCCAGTTACTTCCTTTGAATTTGACACAAATGGACACACATGAGTGAAATCACTATCTATACAAAATACAGATCATAAATCATATAAACTATTATTATAAGCTATTTATTTATAAAGTATATCAAAATAAAATCTCAAAAATATAAAATGCCAGTAATTCTTATTTTCAAATAAAACCTTTAAATCTGAATTACATTTTATATATGTAATTTCTGATTATTTTCTATTTCTCTCTTGGTAACAATTCTTTTTCATTGCCATTAATACTAATGTTGTTAATAAAAAGATTCTCTAATTCTAAAGTAAATTTTGTTAATACCAAAGAGAATAATACTGCTAAGTGAATAATTAATGTAAATGTTAACCTGCAAAAAAACAATAAATTTTGTTGGAGTAAATCAACTTTAGTAATAATTTTAAAATGCAGAATTTGATAACATTTTTGAATGTTTGATTTTACATAATTATTTTATAGTATTTTCTTTTTGTAAAATATATGGATAGTTTTAAGAATAATTTTTCATTACTTGTGACATAAAGTAAAAGCACAAATTGATAAATAAAAATTTTGAGAAATTTGATTGGATTTTAAAGTTCGCCCTCCCCTTACACACACACTATTTTCTCAGATAGAAAAACTAAACCACAATAGTAAATAAAATCAAATTACATTACTTATTTTTATATTAAATATAATGAATGTTAAAACACTTTTGGGTGCTGTGGCAGAAAAATGGCTAATATACTAAATTTCAAAGATGAATAATTGGATTTTTAATTCTGATTCTTTCCATTTTGGAGAAGCCAACACTGCTGTCATTTCCTCTGATCCAAACTTAAGTAATAGAATGCAATGATTTGTTAAGTATAGAGAAGATCAGCCAACACTGCCACTACAACTTCCTGCTGGCCTATTTCCCCTGTTTTAAAACTTTTTATTTAAATGTAAAAGCACTCTCACACCATTATGATACAAAACAGTGTAGTCGTAGAAGAGTGCACTCCCCTGTTTTAGTAGTTCTTTGACTTTCCATTTTAATGACGATCATTTCTTCTAACTTGCTCACTTTGATGATTATAACTCACACCTCTTCAAACATAGACACATTATGAAAAAAAAATGGGACAGGAACAATAAAATAGAGAAAGATGAGAATAAAACAGTTTTTTTCTTTTTTCTTTTGTAATATAACCCCCTGATGTGATCAGACAAATATTGATAATGTGCCACAGACTGTTTCAAATTGTTTGAATTACAGATTAGTATGATGACTGCTTATTAAGGAAACAGCTTCTTATTTGTTTAATCAAATAAATGCTTGAGTCATTTTTTTTAATATTAAATAGAATAATAATGAATTCTATATTAATCTTTTTGCTTGTAAATATATTTCTGTTTATAAAGAATAAAAATAATTAGTAATTTGAGCAGTGAATACAGAACCTTTAGTCATAGATGGTGCCAAAGTCAACCTATGCATCACACACACACACACACACACACACACACACACACACACACACACACATAAAACTTTATATGTTTAGCCATAACATTTTATGAAGACAAATCTGTTTAAAACTTTTCAGAGTCATTGTATAAATCTACAAAATGTTGCCCACATGCAAAAAGAATTAAGGAACTTTTGATAATTTTATCAAAAAGTTAACTTATGACTGGCTTATTTATTTTACATATACTTCAATATTTTAATTGTTAATATTTGCTTTTAACATGTACCAACATTGGATCATTTCATAGCTGTTAGTTACTATAACTTGATAATAAATTGATATTTGTCTCTATTACCTGATTTAATGAACTTGATCAAAATGTGTATATTATTACTGAATATCTATGAATTGATGAAAATAGTTTAGAGGAAAGTGTGTATTTTACATTTCTCAAGCAAGTATATTTAGATGTTTTATTTTGTAAATGAAATTTTTAAATGAAAAGACCGCATAACTGACCTGCTCAGAATTGTGAAAAAATGAAGCCCTATAAAGAAATTGTATCTGAACTGCTTGAAATTACATGAAAAAAGTGAACATTATTGAGATAGTAAAGAATGCAAATATTTATAGTAATATTTGCCATTTATAAAAGCTTAATCTTGTAATTAATTACTCTTAAAATATAAAAATTTCTATTTTAAATTACTAGCCACACCACCAAAAATGTTTATGCTTCCATTTGAAGAATTCTTTATATTTTTAGCAATTTGTTGAAGAATTTATTTTTTCATTTTTATCTTTTCTAAGATTCATTTGGTTCATAACCAACTTTTAAAAAAAAAAACAAGACAAAAACCCCATCAAATTTGGAAGAATGAATTCTGAATTTTTGTCTAACAATTAATATAGACAGTTTTATTGGTTGATTGCAATGATTTTATCATAACCAAGGATCTTTTGATGATTACATAGTATAAATAACCTTTTATTAAGTACAACTTTATTCAAATATTACATTTAATATAAATTAACTGTATTGATTATTTATGAAATGTTTATAAAATGTTCATTTCATTATAGAAATACACAGATATTTAGATTAAGATTTACATTAAAATTTTAAATTTAACTTGTTTTGCATGTAAGAATTTCATTATCATCTCTTGAAATCACAGAAAGAAATTATTTTGTCACAGCCTGATTGTTCCACTGAATCTACAGCCAAATATACTTTAAATATCTAAAAAGAATAACAAGGAAACACATCTAGCAGTTTGGTTTATGATTGCTTTTTCTTTATTGTATTTGTTTACATATTCAATGCCTTTATGAAAGCATGCATGAATTGAAACAGATATTTAATTTTTCTTTTTTAATATTAATAATGTGTATCTGTTTTTCGAGGCAGACAAACATATCACCCCATAATAATAATACAAAATATCAAAACAAACAAAAATATGCATTTTAATATGCAAGCACTCCTGATATACGGTTTATTGTAAGCTGATACTTTTCTTCTGTTTTGCATATTTTAAAACATGCATTTTGTTTGTAAATGTTTTCATGTTCTCCATATTTATAATTACAGAAAATACCTGAATATTGCAGGCTCCCAACTGCTCATGGCAAATCATTAATTAAAATAATAAAGAAAAGGCCTAAATATTGATTTTCTAAAAAGTGTCCTTGTTGCTTCTCTCTTTTGATATGAATGGCTTATTTCATTATTTTATTGAATCCCTTATCTTTTTACCTTAACAATTGTACACTGTCAGATATTATGTAAATCAATGATTTTACAATAAAATTGCCATATATCAACCAATGCATATTAAATTTTCAGGATCTATTTGAATGAGCAATATATTCTGTGAATTTCAGTCAGTGATATATATATATA